TGAAACATGCAATATAGAGAGTGCCCAATGGAACTTGTTTGAGCTGCCCCTCCGACAGCCTGAGGTGTGGGTGACAGGAAGTGAAGGACGTGAGCTGTGTGTGTGGAGCAGCTTAGGGAAGTGCCACTCTAGGTTTGGGGACCTGAAGCCAACTGTTCCATCGGTGACATAGGGTGTCCTGTGTCCTGTCCCCAGGTTGCAGCCTTCTAGCCTACACAGGGAGGGGCACCAGGGCATTCCTCATCTCTTCTTTTTCCCTCTCTTCCTTCCTCTGTGAATAATTCTGAGCCTCCAGGCATCATACTGGGGACACAGTGGAGAATGACAAACAGCTCCTGCTTCCAGGATCTCACAAGCCACCCCAACACCCACTACTCATCTTTCCAGACTCATCATGAGTCTGCCTCCTCTGGGAAGCCTCCTCTAACAGCACATTAACTCTTCATTGGGCACTGTCTTATTAATTGCCTAATTCTTTCACAAGGATGGGGCTCATGCATATTGTTTTCAAAAAGAAATATTAGGCATAATGATAACACTGATATCACCATTTTGTAAGTGTCTGGGGTCTACCATAGACTGCACTAAGCCTTTCATGTGGACAACATTTGAAAGGTAGGTAGTGTCAGTATCCCCATTTCACAGATAAGGCAACTAAGGCTTAGAGAGGTTACATTAAATTCTCCCAGTGTCCTGTAAGAGTAAGCCAGCCAAGTTTTGAACCTGGGTCTCTGGGGCCCTATGTCCCAGAGTGAAAGGGTGTGGAAGGAAAGGGGGCAGTGGACGGCAGAGGAAAAGGCATTACCAGAATAGAACAGAACTAGTAGAGGAAAAGGAAATAAATGAAGCTTAAGCCAGGGGCAGAGACCACCCCTGACTTGAGCTCACAGGGACGAGGTTTACACAACAGTTGTCCCCAGAGTTGGGCCTTTTGGTAGAAAATCCAACACTGCCTGGCTGTGGGAGCTGAGCCTCTTGTCTGTGCTGGCAGCAGGCGGTGCCCTGGGTGGGAATAGATTTCCATGGCTTTAAACCCTCTCTATCACTTGCAGAGATCTTTTTGCTTAAAGTTAGCTGGATGAATGGGAAGGCTAATTTATGCATGGCCTGGAGCAGTTTCCTATAGTGTGACTCAGAGGCCAGGGCTTGCTCATTGGGGGCAGACTGGGGCAGGGCTGTCAGGAATGGCCAACCTGAGTCCCTGTGTGGAGCTGGCACAGATCCACACCACATGGCTCTAAGTTAGGGACTGGGGCTGGAGGCGAAGCACTTCTGTAAATCAGAAGAGGGCACACAGGGCAGGACAAATGCTAAACATGAGAGAATAAAAAGTTCCCTCGTGGCCCACCCTACTCAGGCCCTCATCAGACAGAAAGCACCTAGAGGACTGTGCCCAGGTGCACATGCCTGGCTCGGGGCTGATGGCATACCTGGGCGCCATCAGAGCTGTGTTCAAAGTCTGCTTTGATGTGAACTGTGGTGATGACCTCAAACCCTCATGCTCCTCATCTGTAAAATGGGATAACAACTCCTGCTTCCAGGCACATATGTAATAAGGATGCAGAATAGCCTACTACAAAGTGAGGCACCATGTGGGGACACTGACCAGTGTTCCAGAAGAGTCAGATTCCACCCTTTCTGGAGAATGTGACTGCTTCCTCCAGAGTAGTAATAATCAGTGAAGACCAATAAAAGCTGACATTATTTAGCACTTAGATACTGGGCACTTGGCCTGATCTCATTGAATAAAAATGTTTACGACCCATTGTAATGATGGGGAAATTGAGGTGTTTAGTTGCCCATGTGCCAAGTGTTGTTCCAAGCTGTTCCACTTTGTCCTCACCACAACCCTGTAAGGTAACCACTACCAATTTCCCCATTTTACAGGAGATAATGAGGAAACTGAGGCATAGAGAGGTCAAGTAACTTGTCAACAGTCACACAGCAGGTAAATGGCAGGACTGAGATTTGAACCCAGGGCATCCAAATCTAGGGTCTGTGGTATTATGCTCTTCTGCCCCTCCCCAAGCCTCTTTTAGCGCCACCTGCACCCTGGGAGATCCTTCTAGGGACCAATGCAGCAGGGCTCTGGTTAACCCTACCACAGGCTTTCCTCCTCCTCTGAGACCTTTTCCATCAGAGATCTCATTTGGTCCTCGTGACAAATGAGGAAACCAAAGCTTAGAGAGGTCAGACAAAAGGTGTAAAGGCAGACACACAGCTGGCAGGTGGCAGAGCACTAGTCAGAGCTGTCACTATTCTTTCCATTTTATAGATGAGAAAACTAAGTCCCCTTTACTTTTCATGGAATGCCTAACTCTTGTAACACATTGATATTCTATGGAATTCTAAGAAATGCTGCTTTATTCCACGCTTTATTCTCTTCTCTTTCCTCCATAGCCCAACACCTCCTCCTCCAGGAAGTCTGCTCTGACCTTCACTGCCCACCCACCTCATCTCTCCTATGAGCTCCGGGGCCTGTGCTGCACTTGGTCTGGGTTACTTGCTGTTTTGGTTGCTGGCATTTGAACTGCTTGCTCCCCGTGGGCTAGGGACTCAATGGCCATGTCTCGGGGTTTTATGGGCAGTTATTTACTCTCCTCTGTGCCAGGCACCAGACTAGGTGTTGAATGTACAGAGAGGAGCAGGACAGATTCCTGCCCTCAGGCGCAGGACACAATGAGCCAACTGGAATTGGCCCCACACAGTGCTGGAGCTTGGTGATGGGCCACTCAATGTCCCAGGGTGTGAGAGCCTGTCAAGTGGGAGGGGAGGATGGAATTCTTCGTGGCGCTCTCTGAAGGCCTGATGGTATGAGCCACATCTGTTGCATGCAGTTGGCTGCTTTTCTGGAGAGAAGGGCCACAGCTTCCATCCAGGCCTGGATCCCAGAGACACTTAAAAATTCCTGACTCAAGAGAATCTCCTGGTCCTATTCACAAGGCAAAGACCACTTGGGAGCCCGGTCTCTTAGGAGGCCGGGTATGCCAGCCTGATGGCGGAGGTGCGCAGGGCCATTCTGTCACAGACTAGCGTCTGTACAAGGCTGGGGTTCAGGAGCCCCAACACAGAGACCGCTCCCATTGCAGGGCTGCATGTGGTCATTCTCAAGACCTGAGCTAGAAGCACAAAGTGAAGAGAGGATGTTTCCTCTATTCCTACCCTCCCTGCCCAAACAATCAGACACCAAGAATACAAAGGTGTTTCTAAACTTCAGCCTGGGCTCAGCCCATAGGCACAACATCAGAGATAGCAGCCAATCTTGAAAGAAGGACCAGGCTTAGCTCTTCCTCCTGACTCAAAAGGGCCCCAGAAGAAGAGAGACTCAGATGCCCCAAGCTACTGGGTGCAGTGGGGTACAGGCACAGGCAACCACAGACTGGCAGGTCCCAGCTGAGCATCTAGGTCCATAAGCAACCTCTATAGCAGTGGTTCTCAACCTTCCTAATGCTACGACCCTTTAATACAGTTCCTCATGTTGTGGTGACCCCAATTTCATTGTTACAAATTGAACATAGTTAAAGCATAGTGATTAATCACAAAAACAATATGTAATTATATATGTTTTCCGATGGTCTTAGGCGACCCCTGTGAAAGGGTCGTTCGACCCCCAAAGGGGTTGCGACCCACAGGTTGAGAACTGCTGCTCTATAGGCAATGCATTCAGGGTTAGTGCCCAGCCATGCACAAGGCATGGGGACTGGAGTTAGGAGATGGAGTGAGAGGGATCTCTGGCCTCAGATTTGTTCTCTGTCACATGGGGATAAGGATTCAGAGGCTGCCTGCCTCCCAGGTTGTGGTCTATACCTGGGGGAGGAATTGTCATCCACTCTCCTTAGAATAATATGGCTTCCAATTGTTGAGCACCTACTGCCTTCTCAAGCATCCACTGAGCACTGTGAAGTAGGCGCTGGCCCCATTTTCCAGAGAAAGAAACTGAGGCTTGATGCAGCCTCTTTGCACAAAGTTATGGGATTGGGGATTCCCTGCGAAGAGCCTCACACCATGCCTTTGGGGCTCATGTGAGGAACTCTTTTCCTTCATGTGGGGATGGAGACTCAAACTGAGTTCTGGTGCCTGAGCTGGACTGGTTTCTTTCCTCTCCGTCTCACGGTAGACGGCTGGGCGTTGGCCCCCTCCAGAGAAGACCCCAGGAGGTTGAAATCTTTTCTCTGGAGTTGCAGGCCTACTTATTTTGGCGGTTGCAAGAAAGTTCCACACCCATGTCAAGGGCAAGACATACATGGCACCTGTCACCCTTCCCGTGATAGCCCATCTTCCTGCCTGCCCTGTCTGTCCAGCAGTTCCAAGGCCTATGGCTGCCTGGAGACCTAGGAGTCCCCAAGTCAGAGCCTGGATTTGGGACAGTCGGAGAGGACCCAGCCCAGAGGCAGGGGTTGGGGAGCTGAAATTGGCTGCATTGCAGCAATGCTGTGGTTCCATGCTGGAGCCCAGAGAGGGGATTTTTGGGGCCTGGGGAAGGGAGGCCAAGGGCTGGGTGGCTGAATCCTGGAATCCAAACACTGTAGATGGGGGAGGGGGAAGCAGGAGCCCCGCCTGAGCTTTGACGAAGACAAGCAAGGCATGGCTTCTCTTCTGGCCCCACCAGCCTCCCTTCTGGCCGTGCCTTGGAGACTGGGTGCCTTCTAGATTTCCAGGCTGATGAGCCCACTCCTGAAGTGGATGTGAGTTGCACATTCTGTTTGATTTTGGCATCTGGTTTCCAGAACATAGCCCTTGACCCAGCTCTGTTCCTGTGGTTCTCTCTGCAGGTGGCTTGGGTCAGACCCCAACCCACAATGGGGAGAAAATGGAAGCCCCATCCTCTGGCCTATCCAAAGGGGCTGACCCTCAGCTAGAATACACCAGAATGGCCACAGTGGCATATCAGCCCCTGTCCAAGACATCCCTGTGGTTAAATATATGCATATTGCTCCTGGTGCCAACACAAATGGTAGTCACCAGGGCGACAGCCCTGGATCTGAGTCCCCCACACCTACCTTCTATAGGTGAGGTTTTGAGGCGCCGGCAGATGGCTTCGGTGTCGCCGTAAGTCTCCTTGATCTTGACCACAGCCTCAGTGCTCCGCAGCTCCATGAGGGAGCGGAGCTCCTCCAACGTGCACCCAAACTCGCCCCCATGGCTTGACTCATTTCTTTGGTTTTTGGAGTAAAAGTCGCTGTTGGTCATGTCACCCATGTTTGCCACAGTCCCTGCTCAGGGTGGGCCCGAGGGTCAGCACTGGACCAGAGGCTACTGGGTGATGGCTCTGTGTGGCTGTCCTCAGCACAACCTCACTGGATGGCTGCGGCTCCTGGTGGCCGACTCCGGGTCCCAGGGGGAGGGCGCAGTCGAGGTGGGCTGACAGCAGCAGTAGTGAACTCCAAGGGGTGCCTCTGGGTCCAGGGTGAAGTCCAGGGGCTGGAGGGGCTCAGGGCTCTAGACTCAGTAGTCTCCATTCAGTGGGGCCCATGCTGCTTCCCGGAGCTGGCATCTACATGGTCAGGGACGGTGGCTCCTGTGGGGGCAAGCACAGAGTGGTGACAAGGATCAGGAACTGGAGGCATTATGGGATGGGTGCTCAGAAAGGCCCAGTGTATGTGTGTATGTGTGCCCACCCAAAATAACACCCAGGCACCCTAATGTGGGTGTTCTGTATGACACCCCATAACACACCAGCACACACTGTAAATCCTAACATACCGGTACTCTCCTGGAGACCCCACAATATACCACCCCCAAGGCATAAAATACCCAATTCTCTAATTGTCCACTGTGCTATGTAACACGCTGACTTCACAACACACACCCTGGTGCACACACACCTTCAGACCCACAGGTTCAGGGCGCCCTGCAACACCCAATCCACCTACTTTTAGGGCCCACCCCACTGCCATACACACACAATTCACAAGCCCCACTTCCCACACATGCTGGTAAACACCCCACTCTCTGCCACACACAGTGTTACATGCAGTAACACTTTTGGGATACATCTAACATCCCAACCTCCTTCCCTCAAAAACGCCTGTGTTCACAGCCCCTCTGTGCACACACAGGCCCCTATTTCTCTCACTATGACCACGTGTTTACACACATCCTATGTCCACACAATTTGGGGCATACTCCCCACCTACAGATGTCACCCCTGTCCATGCCACCTACACCTGCTGATATACACTGTCCTCTCCACTTGGGTCTTACAGGCATGGGGATGGGAGAAAGCCACCCACGTCTACCCTAAGCCCCCAATCACATTAATTAAAGCTCTCGGCTGGGCCAGAGGAGCAAGCTCATGCATATTCACCAGGACATCACTGAGCCCACAGCTTGGCCCAAAGCATGAGCTGGAGAACAGGGAGACCTCACCTGGGGGCTCTCACAGTCCAGCACCATAGATAGTGGCCTCCACGTTCCTCTGGGAGCCCAGGAAAAGGAGGGAGCGCTGGCTTCTCTCTGCCTGCCTGGCCACCCTTGCAGGAGTGCAGCATCTGCAGGGCTGCCAGGAGAGAATCCAATCTGCTTGGACACCCAACACCAGTGGCCAAGGCCCCGGCAAGCGTTGGGTGACAAAGGGCCCCTGTTGAGCTCGGCTGGGCCTGGCACAGGGACCGGCTCCACCCAGCAGTCTCAGACAGCTGGCCATCTTAGGTCCAGGACAGTGAGGGGGAATGGAGGGAGGAAGATGGGATTGAGCCCACACTCCAGCCCCAGCTTCTCCCTCTTGTCGCCTCTCCCTTGCCCCATCTCTCTCCTTTGCAATCCTTTCCTCTTGCACAGAATTTCAGAGCTGGTGACATTTTAGAGTTAATCTCATTTTCCCCAGTGAGGAACCTGAAGTTCAGAGAGGAAAAGGGCCTTGTCCAGAACCACAAAGAGCTAAAGCAGAGGGGCCTGAGTGTCTGGTTTCCTGACTCCCACCCTGGTGCTCGCTCCCCTTCCCCTAAGGGGCACTCTCTCCTTTCTCTCGAAGAGCCGAGGCTGGTGGGTAGATTGTGCCTGAGTTCAGTGAAGAACACAGGATGGAGTCAGGGCAATCTGGGTTCCCATCCAAGTTCTCCCAAACCCTGTGGAACCCTGGGCAAGTCCCTCCGCTTTACTGAGGCTCGGTTTCCTCATATGTAAGACAATAGTCAATCTCCTCTTGCTGCCTCCTAATTTACTGGGAGCTAATTATAAACCATGTTCAAATCTGATGTTTCCTTCTGGGGTATGGCGCTTCCTAGCTAAGGGTGTGTGTGTGTGGGGGGGGTGCTGGAGCTGCAGAGGAAACGGTCATGCCTTCCAGGAGGGCACTTTTACCCAAGGCTGCAGTCGGAAGCCTTATTTTTACACTGAGACCAACAGACAAGGCAGGGACCAAGGATGCCCGCGTGTACAGGTGCTGTGGAGGTTAACAGTAGGAGCTCTAGAAGCCACAATTTTCTGGCAAATTCTGGTTCCTCCACCTCCCAGCACGATGGGAGGCAAATTAACTTTAGTTTTATGATCTTTAAAAAGAGAGGGGGAATAATAGTATCTACCTCGTAGGTGTTATGAGGTTTAAATTAGTTATTTCACATAAAATATTTACAACTGAGCCTAGTAATTACTGAATAAGCACTCCATAGTTATTGCGATTATTACCAACCCATATAACTGCTTTAGGAGATAGACAGTCTTATTATCCCCATAGAACATCTGAGGAAACTGAGGCCGAGAGAGGTGATAAAACCTGTCCAAGGTCACACAGTTAGTGAGCGGCGGAATTGGGATTTAAACTCAGGTTCTCTGGGTCCAGAGACGTTCTCTTAAGCAGGACACTTTGCTGCCTTCCCTGGTGAAACTCCCTTCTGGGGTTCTTAGGATACTTAATAAAGTGTCACATGTGAATGTAAGTGCATTGTAAACCACGAAGGACTTTCTAAACTTTAGGCACTGTTTTCTATCTGTCCCTCTGATACCCGTGGTGTGACTTAGAGGCACTCATAATTACATCTGACAGCATGAGCTATGAGAAGCGTTAGCAGTAATTATATTTGTGATGACAATAGTAGGCATGAGTTAATAATGGCCTACTGGTAATTTTAATGACTACTATGTTAAGATGAATAATGATCTTCAACCATCTATCTACCCATCTACCTGTCTACCCGTCCATCCATCCATCCATCCATCCATCCATCCATCCATCCAATAACTATTTTGGGCATCTACTCTGTTTCAAGCACTGAACAATCCAGACATGGTCCCTGCCTTCCAGGAGCTGACAGTAAAGAAGAAAGACAATTAAGTGGGCGATTTCTATATAACATGATGGGTTTGCCATGATGGCGAGTCCCAGGTGCTGTGGACACCCAGAGAAGGAAGATCTGATATGACCCAGGGTATCAGGGAAGATGAGTAGGGAATACTTTTCCCTCTGCAGGTTAAGTAGGCCTTAAGCCAAAAGATGGACATGGAAGAAATTGAACTATACAATTATCTATTAGTAAAAGGTCAGGAGGGACATAGTAAAAGGTTCAGAAAGGGACCTGTGTGAGCAGGTATAGAAGAATGAAATGCTGGGATATCAAAATCAGTTAAAAACCAGAATTTTAACACTGTAGAAGACTGATCTTAAACGTCCTTCTTTGAGATTTCCCACTGTAGTTACTCTTCTGATGTGGCTTGTCCCCAAACCCTATTACCCCTTGCTCCTACATGTCACCAGTGCATGCATGAGACCAACCCTGTTCTGGGCATCTTGGTTTTTCCTTCTAAGTTGCAGAGCTCACTTTGGTATTTGATCTAACTGTGGGATTTCCTTGCTTAGAGAGCTTGAAGTCCATTGGCCCAGAAGTACTTACATGATGCCTCTCAAATGATATTCTGATAGATGGACAGAGCCAAAGACCTGCTAGTTAGTGTAGAATCTATCAGTTTCCTGAATCCTCTAGACTGGAACACTTTCCACTCCCCCAGTCTTCGCTGCCTTGACAATGGCCGGTTCTGCCCAGTAATGTCCTTTACTTGAAAGCCTTCCCTGACTATGCAGGGCTATGTAAATGCTCCTGACTACTGGGTGCCTCCTGCATCATACCACACTTCACACGCTATTGCTTGGGCCTGCTTAGCTGTCTCCCTTCCCCAGTGGGCAGTAGTCATGTCATTTTTGTACCTATTATGGTACCTGGCATCCAGAAGGCACTCAATAAATGCTTGATGAATGAATGAATGTCTAGATTAGCCCCTGGGTCATCCATCCATGGGAAGTCCTTGGATCTCAGTTTCTTCATTTATAAAATGGACTAGTGATTCCTACCCTGCCTATCTTACAGGTTTGCTAGAGATAAGGAAAGATATCACAATCAGTAGTCATACTTTTTTCTTTGAAATTCATCCCCTGCCCTCCATGTCCCAGGTTCCTTTCATCATAATGAGGCATGGGTGTGAGGCTGGAGCAGGCAACTGTCCCCTCAGTCACAGCTCACCAGACTCTGACATCCCTGCTGCCTTGCCCAAATATCACCTGAACTACCACTCTATAGCTGAAACATTTAATGAGTGGTGTGACCTTGGAGAAGTCATCTAACCTCACTGGTGGGCCTCTCTGCAAACGTGTTGACCCATCTGTCTAACAGGCTGCCATGAGGACCTATGGAGACCAAACAATGCTGGCTCCTGTACCTTCCCCTCTCACCCTGTTATTAGAAGTGAAGCTCTGATGGTTGTGATGAGGTTCATTTGCAGCCAGTTCTCAACACTGCATACTCCTGCCCTAAAAAAAAAACAACAGACACACAGGCTACTATGGAGTGAATGTGTTTACCCCCAATTAACAAGTTGAAGCCCTAATTCTCAATGTGATGGTATTAGGAGGATGGGGCCTTTAGGAGGTAATTAGGTCATGGGGGTGGAGCCCTCATGATGGGATTGGTGTTCTTATAAAAAATGACATGAGAGAAGATCTTTCTCGGCCATATGAGGACATAGTGAGACAGGAAGAGGGCCCTCACTAGGAACCCAATTGGTCGGCACCTTGAGCTGAACTATCCAGTCTTCAGAACTGTGAGAAATAAATTTCTGTTGTTTAAGTAACCCCGTCTATGGTATTCTGTTATAGTGTCTGTGGGGCATGAGACAGGGACCTGGGCAGGGCATAGGACCAGTTCTGGGTGCAGAGAGGGTGAGCAACACACTAGGGGTCACATAGCCACCTGAGGCCAGAGTCCACTGAAAGCCCCTCCCTGTTTTCCAAGCTCCTGCAGCATGACCTTGACCAAGCCCCTTTCTTCCCTGGACCTCAGTTTCCCCATGTGGAAAGTGAAGGGATTGGACTAGTGCTCTCTGAGGGTCCCTTTAGGCTCTGACAGTGCCAGGACCTTCAGAATCCAGGAGAACATTCTGACAATATTGGATTTATGCATTTCGATTTCATCTTATTAGCATTTAAATGACTCTGTATTGTTACATTTCAATGACTCAAGAATAGGTTAGGGGCACCTTAATAAAAAGTCTTTGCTAGGAAGGACGCTTGCAGAGGAAGGAGCAATGGTT